GTTAAAAAAAAAAAAAAAAGGGGTGAAACCCAGATCCTTCCATGTCACCGACAAATAAGCCCACCAGAGCTGGCAACCTAGTGCTGAGTTAGAGTTTCACTGCTGACAGGATCATAAATCCCAGAGGTTTGGGATTTGTTTTTTTTAAACCAGGGATGAGAAATTTGGGTGGAGGACAGGGAACTGCTCTGGCAGCTCTTGTGGTAGTTTTGTTAGTGCCACAAAGTCAGTAATCATTGGTACTGCAGAAGATCCAGAGGTAGCCCCTCTGCTTCCCATTTACAGCCCTAGCACATGCCTACAGAAATCCTTCACATACCATCCAGCTTTAATACCCTCTTCTATTCTTAGCCCAAGCTGGTCTTCTTATAGACTATTACTCAGCTATGTTTTTGGCTGTCCTATATCCCTCCCCTGGCCTGTTCCAGCCCCACAAGGCCAGCCAACTCCCCCTGCCTAGAAATTTCAGAGAAAAGTAAGTGATCCACAGCACCAAGCTTACCAGGAACTGCTAGGACATAGAGAGCCAGGACAAGCCCCCTTCCCCTGGACAAAACATCCCTTGGGCTTGCTTCTGCTGCTTACAGCAGCATCAGGCTCAGCCCCAGCTCATACACTATGCTCACCTGGCAGAGAGGATGAAAAAAAGCAAGGCGGCAGGGCTGGAGGCAGCTCTGGTATTTGTCCTCTCCCAAACAGCCATCTGAGAAGCAAAAGGCAGCTCCATCTCTAAGAACTGCAGCAAGGCAGGAAGGGTTTAGGAGCATCTACCCACCTGCTGATATAGGGCATCATCCAGAACAGCTCCACCTGAGCTATGGGGCTGATCCCCACCACCTCCTCTCCTGGCCCACAGTTGTGCAAGGGTATTTTCTGATTAAATTGGGGGTTGAGGAGAAAAAGGTCATTCTTAATAAAGCAGAAAGTCCCATATTAGAAAAACCATCTGGGGCAAGGGCTGAGGGTCTTCCCCTCAGCTATAAGGGGGCTGTGGAAGGCAGGAACATTTTATAGCACACACGCCTGTCTTATGATTTGAGTCAGCAAGTAACGATGAGTCTCTTTTCAATAACTTTATTGTGTTTCTCAAGCTGTTAAGTCCCAGGTCTTGTCTGAGATGACTTGTTATTAATTTTTAAAAAATCCAGGCATTGCCATGGCTCTGTGATTTGAAAACTGCTCCTGCCCACTTTACTCTTTTTTTTTTTTTCTTCTGCTTTTCTTTATGGTACCAAAACAGAAAAGGCCTCAAGGGCTGGCTGAGCCTGGGGATGGGCGGGAGTGAGAGCCAGGAAAAACCTTGACTGGACCCTGGAGCCAGCCCCAGCAGGCATAGCTGCCATTAACTCAGGTTTTCAGCTTTAAATACTCATGGGTTCAAATGGCCAGTCGTGTGGGTTTTCCCCCCCCCCCCCCCCCCCCCTTTAAATTCCCATCCCTCCTATTACACAGAAGTATTTCAACTCTGAAATGACCTCACAAAATCCTCTGAGAATTTAAATAGTTGGAAAATATCTAGACTGGGCAATATGCAATAGGAATATGATGCTCAGGTTATTTTTTCGCAGGGTGGAGGTGGCTTTTCCAGCTAAGACTAAGGATGTTGTTGTGGAGGAGAGCCGGCCCAGGGACTCTGGGTAGGACCGGAGGAATCCAAGCACAGGGACGGTGCCAGGGAGCCCGGCGGCAGAGCATGGGCAACGTTTCGGAGTCCAGAGACCGCATTTACGTTACATTCTTATTTTTAAGCTGCTGGGAAGCACGTCTGTGTCCCTGCAGGCAGAGCTGTCGGGCCGGGAACGGGAGCCAGCGGCTGTCTCTGCTGTCATCCCGCGGCCGTGCCGGGGACTCCGGTGCTGCCGCTGGCCCAGAGCCGACCCGCTGCCTCCGACCTCCTCTGTGCCCCGGGGAGAGGGCTCTTAGCCCTTGGCAGCGGTACAGCCCCCAACCCAGGGCTGTGTTTGCCCTTAGCTGGCTCTGCACCCGCTCGGCCCCTCTCGGAGATGGTGCCCGTCTCCCCCAGACCCAGAAAAAGAGGGGGGTGAGCCTGGCTTTAGAGGAAAACCCAGGAGAACAAGTTCCCCAAGTACCAGGCACGTGCTGTGATTTGCACCTCTTGCCTCTACCCTACGAGCGATCCGCAAATGTGGTTGGAACTGGCCAGGGATTTCCGAATACACCGTGCCCAGAGGGGTGGCTGCAGAGGCATCGCGTGGGAGCCCCGGGGCCCTCGTGGCCTTCACAGCCCCCTCCGGGTACCGCAGAGCCCCCCACCCTGCTGGGCACAGGGCTCGCTCTGCTTTGGGTCTGTAAAGCACGAAACCCCTTCACCGACAGATGCGCACTGCTTCACCCACGCAGGACTGCTGTGTCCCCGTGGAGGAATGATGCAGCACCCTGAGCACCAGGGCGCTCGCTGTAGCACTGCCTTTGTGCCATGGTCGTCTGCTCCCAATGCCCCAGCCCAGCCAATCCCACACTGAACCAGTGAGCTTGATGGGAAACGCTCCAGCTCCCATTTTCATCCTGGGGGAGCTTGAGCCTCCTGCGGCCGCACCCGGAGCTGATGGCAACGGCAGGGCAGCTTTGCCAGTGGCTGGGGGAACGACCAAGCAAGCCACACGCTGGGAGGAGACAGCAGCATCTCTCCATCCTTCCCAAGGGTTGTCTAGCGGCAGCAAAGCCCCGATTCCTGCTCCATTTCTGATTATCAAAATGCATAATTTGAAGTAGAGAAGGGCGTATTGAAAGCCTTTCCACAGGCGAGGCTTTATTTATAAATCAGAGTCCCCCACATTAAATAAACATAATTTAACTTGATGTCCTGTTAGTGTGGGTCCCAGCACCACTGTGACCACATCAGCATGGCTGCAGGGCCACTGGTCCTTGTCACCACAACAGGATCCTTGGTTGGGCTGGAGAAGCCATGCAAGCAGTGCTAGCCATGTCCCCGCCTCCTCTGATCCTTCAGTTGCAGCTTCTGGATAGTTCTTTTGTGGAAGAAGACAAAAAAAAAAAAAAGAGAGAGAGGGTGTCTTCCCCAAGATGCTGTGCTCCTACCTGGCTTCATCTCCAAGGGGAATTTGTAACATGCTGACATTCATGCAGTGTCACCCCAGCAAGGACTAAAAGCCATGCTTTCTTGACACAAGAGGGGAGAGGAAGAAAAGTGATGTGAACCAAAGGAAAATCCCAGCTCCCACGATGGCAACCCACAACGCCCTGCCTCTGCAGCCTCCGCTTGACCCAGCCGGCAGGGGTGGGATGGGGACCTGCTTTGAGCAGAGCAAGACTGATGCAGAGGGAAGACCAGAGGCAGCTTTACTCAGCAGAGGGAGCTGCTATGCATGAGGATTTTTTGGTTTGTATTTTTTTTTTTTAAAAGGATGTTTAATGCTTTAATGGGAGGTTTCCATTGACTCATGTCCCATAAAATCACACTGTAGCACATCGTCCTGAAAATAGCTGCACCCTGTGAATGATTGGGACTATTTAAAAATGCAAACAGCAGAGAGGAAAACTCAAGGTGACCCCTTTTTTCTATCAGGAGGCAACCGTGCACTTCTGCCTTTCCCACTCTGCCCCGGAGGGCTTTGTGTTATGCCCGGCCCCGTGGCAAAAGCCCTGGCTGGCACCGGGGCCAGTGGAGCAGCCTTGGGTCCCACAGTGACGCTGCCTGCGGCCAGATTTCTCCCAGGAGCTGGCCCTGGCAGAGGCAGCAAGAGGCATTTCTGTAGGAGCTTTACAGAAGCAGGGCAGAGAAGAACAGCGTGTCCCAGTGGCTGCTGCCCATTTCTCTCCTTTAACAGCCCTTGACAACACCACCCTGGAGGACCCTGGCCTTCCTGACATCTCTATCGCAGTTCCTAGCAAAGCTTCTCACTCACCATTTTCCAGGACTCTCAGATGCCCAAATTATACTGCAGAAAATGGATTAGCAGCAAGAAAAAAACCCCAGGAACATCCTAATGCAGCGCTTGACCTTGCTTCTGTCGCTCCAAACTCCTGGCAGAGGCATCAAGAAGAGTTTGAGGCTGTGCAGCATCCCTCCTCCCTCCAGCCCATCCTCCGCAGCACAGCCAGGTATCACAGAGTCACAAATGAATGCAATACATCTTGGTCCCTCCCAAAACGTAAACCAACCTGAAACAGGAACTCCAAGAGCAGGAGTTCACGTGCACGGATTAGGCTGGGGTGGTGGGTGTAATTGCATCTCATTTAGCTGCACTCGGCAAGGTTGCTCCTTGCATAGAGGTGAAGCTGCTCCCGAGCCTCAGTACTCAGCACCTTACTGCAGGTGGCAGGCTTGGTCTGGCAGAGGACTGGGACATCTCTGTGTAGGCAGCCAAGGTTTATTAGAGAAATTGTTAAATTCAAATGACTCGGATACAAAGATAAGCTGCACTGCCTTCTGAAAGGCAAAGGTGTTTCTGACCCATAGAAACTGATACAGGTTACCGAGACATCAGTGACCACAGCAGGTTTGACAGTAAAATGATCACCTTGCAGTTAATCTTAGTGGAGTCAAAGTTTCTTTCTACCTAGTACATCCAATAGGATGCGTACATTGTGTCAGCATATAACTACCGCCTCTCGCCTATAGCCTTGCTGCCTTTCCTTCGGGATGTTGCCATGTCTCAGCAGCATCTCTTCTGTTCCCATTCAATCACAGTAGCTCTTTCCTCCCTTCTTTGCTGTGTTTAAACATCCAAAGCAACACATCTCTATGGAACATTTATAAATTCAGCGTCAGGCTGCTCTCATCTTTAATGAGATGGGGGAATAAGAAGGTGCAGAACTCAAAATCTGTTATTAGACCTTTAAACTAAAATTAAAAAGAAAAAAACAGAAACCACTGTTCATTTCTCATGGAGAATTCAAACCCTTCACCGGCATGTTCCTAGGAATGTTTTTCTGCTTGCAACAGTTAGCATCACGGGATGGCATCCCCCTCCCCTCCCTGGAGCACCGTGGCATTGTCTCCTCTGTGGGATGAGGTGTCATAGGGCTGCACACAGCAGCGTTGCTGTCCACAGGCTCGTCAGCATGAGGCTGGATGACAGTCTGAGCACGGGGCAAGGCCGGAGGGACGGGGAGGCCGAGGTGCAGGAGCAGACCTCGTAGCCGTTTTCTGAGCGGCTCTCGTCGTGCTGCCCTGGTTTGGAGCGTGCCCCAGTCCTGCTGCTCCCAGCTGCTTCTGGAGAGTCAGACTGCATGTCGCTGCACACCAGCCAGTCTCTAGCGATGGACTGGGGATAACCAGGCTGGGCTTCCAGGTCACTGTCCAGCACTTTCCAGTACTCCTTGCCCCTGAAGAAGTAACTCGCACCTGTGAAGAGACCAAAACCCAAAGGCAACATCAGTGGCGATGGGTGCTCTCCCAGCGGAAAGGGCACAGGAGCACTGGGAGCAGCAGAGGAGCAATCCCACCCCTGCTGAGCCCCAGGGAGCGGAGGCACAGGCGATACCACTGCTTGTTGCCCGTACCCTCTCTCACTGCAGGAGCACGGCGGCTGCTGGTGGGATGCTCAAAAAGATGGTGCTACGCCCGGCCGGGATCTCTCACACCAGTCAGGAGCCACCAGACAGATGGGAGGCGGGTGGTGAGATGTCACCTCTTCTATGGTGGGTCCTAGAGCAGATGCATCCCCCTAGTACCGAGGGTGTGCAGGATAAAAACCCTAGTAAATCCACGGCTGGATCCACTGTACGCGTCCCAGTGGCCGTCAGTGGATGGTCTTTTAACAGGGCATGGTAAGGCTGAAGAAGACCTCACCTACCTGTAAATGACCTGGGGTGCATGCTGCTATCCCCGGGCTCAGATAAATAACCTGAGCCTTGCAGGGCCCTGGGAACTTTCTGTTCTCGGGTGCATGTTTTCCACTCTGAACTGGGAGGTTGTGAGTTCTCTAAGCAGGTCTCAAGCTCATGGAGGACTCCTACCCACGCAAATGGCTGGTCGCTCTCAACAGCTTTGGAAATTCAGCTTGAAAGGCCTCTGGAAATGTCCCTCCCCTCTGCCTAGTTTAATGGTTGCTATTACACTGTTAGGTCGTCAGTAAATAAAACCTGGAAGTGCCACTTTGTTGTGAGTGAATGCCTGTTTTTATACATCTGTGACAAAATTTTTGTGGTCTTTTCAGGGGGAAGAAACCACTGAGAAATCTCATCCCCAGAAAATAAGTCGTAACTCTGGGGAAAACGTCTCCTTTAAAAATATTTTCTGTCCACGTCCTCATATATATAGCTAAAAATCCAATGACAACAAATTCAGTGAGGAGCAAATCAGCACATATTAGGATAAAAATCACTGCGAAACAACATCAACTGTGTTCTTTTAATAAAATCAAATTATTAGGCCCCCAGGATATTTTTGTTGCCTGCTTGAAAGTACGAAGTCTTTTAGCGAGCAGTGCGGGGAGCTCTGGCTGGAAGCCTATCTCCCTCTTCAGCTTTCAGACACTGGGAACTGTTGTCCCATCAGGGACTTAGCAGTTTATGTCGGCAGGCAGGGTAGAAGGAGCTAGAGCTCAAGTGCAAATGAAGCACTGATTTTTTTTTTTCTTGTGTTTGTTTTGAACTGGCATATGGACTCACCATCTGACCATCTCATGGCATCATCTAAAGGGCTTGGTATTCCCTTCCACAGGATGGTCTCTGAAGGGTACCCAGGATCCATCCTCCGCTCATGGTCGTCGTAGCACCAGTAGAGATTGTCCTTAAAGAAATAAGTCTTGTCATTGTGGGCCCAGGAGAAAGCGGCATCGATTCCTCCCGGTGGCAGACCGAAGTCTGAGATCGGCCGTGGATATCCTTCCTCCACGTTATTGTCTTTGAAGACCCAGTATCTGTCTCCTGTGGAAAAGAAAGAAGCACGGAGCAAAATCACATTGTCAAAACCAGCATTCTCCGGCAGACAAGCTGCTGTTTCATTATCTGTTGCCGTGACAATTCTCAGGACCGAGCTCTTGGCGTTTAAGGATGGGGACGAGAAGGCAGCAGCCCAGTGGGGAACCTCGATCTTTGAATAGTTGCTTTTTTGTGTGTCAGGCTCTCCATGGAGCATAGCCCCCTTTCGCTCCTCAATGGCTGCAGGCGTGACAGTCCCGGGACATGAACATGCCGACAGCATTAGTACAGTTGTCACTTTTATGTGTTTGGTAGTGGCATTTGGTTTTCTGCCCCATTGATTTCTGCCTGATATCCAACTGCAAGAAGCGGCAAGTTACATGCAGCTTTTGTGGGCAAACTGGGCACTTTCTGCCTGTTCTTTGACTCCTGGGAAGCAAAGTGTAGTCCCACTTTGGAAGAGAAATCGCCACAGTTTTTAGAGCCAGCTGGGCTGAAGGACCTGTGGATTTTAAGGGATGTGAGTAGGATGTGCAGGGGCTGGACAAATCCCATCGGAGCAGCCCACTGCTCTTCAAGCATCCTACACAGCCACCTCACCCTGGCCAGGAAAGAACCGTCAACACGTTTTTTTTCCAATAAAAATGAAGCACAAACAACTGGCCCCTGGTCTGTGGCAGAACAAGAAAATGAACCCAGATCTCGCAATTCCTACATAATCCTCTAACCACTGAGACAGTCTTTCTGTTTGTACAATGTCTCTTTGGGAACCTGCAGCGTCCTTTTAGGTATCAGATGACCTATTTTAAAGATCAGAGTTTTTCCTCCCTTGGTTTTCTAGAAAATCTGAAAAGGCACTTAAATACATGCCCATGTACCAGCAGCAGGACCTTAGAGGTTGAGGTAATTTGTGTGCTTTGGTTTCTGTCCAGGGATCAATGAAACAGTGCTGGAGAGAGGGAACGAGACAGTATTTTATAGCTAGAAACAAAATCTTGAGTTTAATCTTCAGAGCTAGGCAGGACTAACACACACATCGTGCGTGACCATGGAGCGCTGTGCCTCGCAGGGGCAAGGCCCCAGCTGTGGCACATCTGTAATTCTGGCCTCCCAAGCAGCCAGGAGGAGCCCCTGGACCTGAGGTGCCGGGGGCCTGTCCATCCCCAGCAGGGAGAGAAGGAAAGAAGGGAAGGAAACAAGTGAGTGCCGCTGTGGTCCGCAGCCCTGACTGGGAAGGTCTGGTGCCAGGCGTAAGGGCTGCCACGCTCCAGCTGGCCCAGTTCCCTCCGGATTAGCAGAAAGGCAGTGCTGGGCGGGCTGCCCGAGGCAGCTGGAAACATGCGGCGGAGCTTTTTGCCTCCCGTTCCTCGGGGAGGTGCAGGGCTGGGGGCAGCTCTGCGGTGCTCGGCACACGGGCAGCCTGGAAGGGCTTCGGCTGCGATTGGAAACGCTTCTGCGCGTGTAGGGGCTTGCGCGGGATGTAAGCCATTCCTCTAGCCTTGCTGGAGGAATCGAAACCCGAATTATTGCTTTCAGAAGTGCTTGGTTCAGCACTTCTGAAACCGATAATTGCACCACGCTTGGAGTAGAACAGTCGGGAGACAAAAAGCAATTTCCAGCCGGGGAGTACAGAGGGCTGGGATGTATTTAGCTCTTCAAGTGCACAACCTTTCCAAAACAAAAGCCGGTGCCTGCCAGGGGCTTGGGTAACATTCAGCACATGGGTAGCATCTAACCAGCGCAGGCAAGTGGTTTGTGGGGGACTTGGACACTTGTAGAGGAGCCAAGAGCTAATCTCTTTCCTCCAGCTCTTCTGAAAGAAACTTGCGAGTAATTTTAAATAAAAAGAGAGGATTATACCACTTATTTTAAGGAAAAAAAAAAGTAACAGACACATAATTAGCAAAACCAAGCTCTTCAGGTTTGATTTTTGTCCCCTCTGCTGCTGCTTCTCTTCTCAACAACAAATACTAAAGAGTGAAAAGGCCAAAGAAGGAACAGAAAACCCGTAGTGTGTGCCTGGGTGGTTCCTGCTTTTATTTAATTCTTGAAAAGCTAAGATATCAGTTAGATTTGGCTGAAGTTTTTCTTCAATGACGTTTTCCTCATTTTCTGGGGAACGTGACTGCTACTTTTTGCCTGCCCTCCCTACAAGCTGGTTTCTCCTGACCTTGCTCACAGACAAAAGGTCTTGGACCTGCCCTGGGAGATGCTCAACGGCTGACGCTGGTGTCTCCTGCCTTCAGGAGAGGTCAAAACGCTGCCAAGATACCTTGGCACCGGGCTCTACACCGGGGAGACACGCATGCTACCTCCAGCACCGCGTTTGCTCTCACCTTTGAAGAAGACGATCTTGTGGTCGCTGGTTCTCTCATAGACGGCGTCCAGGCTGTCCAGGTTGAGCGGCAAGCCTCGCCAGAAACGGTGGATCTGAGCCGGCTGGAGGGAGACCAAGTGCTTATTGCGAGTCAGTCTCCAGAAGTACTTGCCTGGAGGAACAGACTAGACATTACTGAACCACACTGCAACCCACCTTCGCTGGGGGAAACGAGCACCAGGCACGTGGCAGCGGCAGAAAGCAAAGTGCGTGAGATGGGAGCTATGAATTAGAGGCATCCTGCTTTCCAGCAGCAGCTGCTAGCACTTTCTATGTCTGGCAGACCATTAGAAGAAATCCTCTTTTGGGGATCAAAATAATCCTCTGGACATTGGCTGGAGTTGTTCTACTCCTGGCCGCAGTGTGAAGCTGCGCCGCTGAGCCGGATCGGGTGAGAGGAGCCTTTCATCTCCCACCCGGCTCTGCATGGGACCTCCTGGGACCAGGCAGCAGCTGAAGCTACACCAGGCACCAGCAGCCTTTAGTGAGAGCCTCCGAAAAAAACATCCCTATTTCTCCTCTCCCGGAGCACCCGCAGCTTCCTGCACACAGGGTACCCAGCTGCTTTCGTATTTAGAAATGTGTATGATGTTACGATGAAAGATGGAAATATCAGAGGGGTTTTTTAAATGAAGAAAGGGAGTAAGAAAATAGAGGAGGAGGAAATTATATTCATAAAACTGGAAGGGATTGAGGTGGGGAAGGAGGCACAATTAGGCACATCTAGAGGTGTAGGGTGAGCAGGGAACTTCAGTCCTGCGGTGCTCCCAGGGGCTGAATGCACCGGTGGTGTAAGCAAACACACTTCTAGTACCTGCAGCAACACTGCCCCAGCCAGAAAAGTTTGGCTTGGGGTATTTCTGGAATATTTTGGGTAGCGGAAAAGGAAACAGGTTTGTCCTCTGTGGGAAGGATGCCAAACTTTCTCCTGACAAAGGAGCCTTACGTGGGATTTTCCATGGAGTCTTAATGATTTTGGGGGCAACTCAAAACCCGACTCTCTGCACTGTCTCTGGGATTCCCAGCCTGAGTTTTTGCAGCACGCTTTCCGCTGCATCTTCCCCAGAGAGCTCGACACAGTGAGATCTGAGCTGGAGCAAGATGTCTAAAAGCCAGGTCTCAACTTCATCTCATATTTGTTATTGCCTGTTAGAAATTATTGCATGTTATTTACATCTGTTCTTGCACGGATTCCCAAGGGGGGATAAGCAACAGATACCAAAGATGCGTCTTCAGATTTGTATTCACGACGCTCAGCCCCTTCTCCAGAGCCAGCAGATTGTGACACCGTCTTTTAAAATTTTATGGAAATTGGATCTTAGCCTAATAATGCAGGAGGCGAAACTCTAACACTTAAACATCTGCAGAGAGGGGGTTTTATTCTAATTATAAGGATTTATATCATATTCTTATTCTTCTGCTCCAGTTTGCATATTTGCTCTATCTGACTGAAACCCACAAATGAATAATACATTCAAATGTGGCAGGAATTGCCATAATTACAGATTCTTTTTAAGAACGTTAAAAAAAATAGGATTCAAATTTGGTGGCTATTGTACATCGATGGAAACACATGTAATTAAATAAAGATGATCTCTGCATCTCTAATTAGCGAAGCACTAGACAAAGCCAGATTTTCACTTTTTTTAACAAGAAATACAGCTCAACAGAATTCCTTCTTTAGTAGATAAGTATCTGAACTTCAGAGTGCCCTGGGCTCATTTGAGACAAGGAGGGAAGCCCCAGTGCTTTTGACGTTTCAACCTTTTGCCAGTGATGGGCTCAGCGGGTGTGCAACTGCAGCAAGCAAGCTTTAAATCTACCCTCAAAGTCAGGCATAGCCTGGGCTGTTGGTTGGTTTTTTGATAAACTATCAGGAAAAAGCAAAAAAATATAGCAATTAAATAGCAAGGAATTTTTAACACAACGGCCCCAGTCTGCCCGCGCTCATGTTTTGTCATGGCCAAGCCTGCTCGCCAAAGTGTTGCGTTTACTTGGTTGATCATCAGCCAAAGCCAGAGCCGCAGGCTGCCATTATCATGCAGAAATAGAATAAAATAAAATAAAATAAAAAAACTCCACCCCCTGTTTGTTTAAAAAGCTGGATTTAAAACCACCCACCAAGGTGGCAAACAGAGCAGGATGAAAGCCAAGTGTAAAGTCCTGCTTTCCCAAGCATCTTGTTTTATATGGATGATGGGTTGAGGCAATTGCTTTCTTTAATACCAGGCGATTTTGATCCCAGCTGTGTACCATGCTCTCCGTACTTCGGCTGCCTCTGGCAAGGTTGCTGCACGTACTGTGCAGACACACACACAGGCCAAAGTTGTTTTAAAAGTTCAGGAGTCTGGAGCAAGGCACCTAAATCAAAGCAAGCGGTGTTTTGGAAGTGCGGAGAACCTGCTGTTGCCTTCAATATGACAAACCTGGGAGCCCTGGGGAGTTCCAGTCCTGGTGTCTTCCCGGTGGGAGAGGCTGCTCTCCAGCTAGGGAACCAGCTGGACCAGCTCAGAACAAAACATCCATCGATGGAGGGAGCTCATCACTGGAGGTCATTAAAATCCTGCCCCAGAGGTGACATCCCCGCTCCTTGGTGCCCAGGATGGTTTGGTGGCAGCAATGGGGGCTCCAAGGGAGATGCTGGGCTCCGGAGGCAGCCATGCAGCTGGCACCCACTGACACTGTGCTCTTTACATTTGCATTTTGGCCCACAATAAATATATCCAAAAATAGACACCGAGATAGATTTCTCTTTAGTTTTCTTTTTTTTTTTTTTTTCCCCTCTGAAAGACAGACAGCCATTTATCCTGGATACCAGTTCTTGTCTCTTATTTTCCCTTCTTCACTGTGGCTTTTTGGAGCCGTCATCCGAACAAATACCACAGGGGAACAGCCTCTGTATTGTGCTCCCCCAAGGGCACAGACAACATCGAATTCTCTGGAGCTCTTTTGCCATTCTTGCCTGCGACCCGAGACTCACACTGTGATACCCAGATGGGTTATACATGCCTGGACGCTGCTCCCAGTCCCTGGGGGAGATGCTTCTGCTTCCCCGCTGAATGGCTTTGGGGTGGCCAAATGGCGGCCAGGGATGGAAAGAAATGCCCAGTGGGCACTTTTCCATCTTGGAAAGATGGGAAAGAAAGCCCATGGAGTGCAGCCTACATGGGCTCTGTACAGCTGAGAAGGCACCGACGGGATCCTTGTCGACAGCCGGGCAGCCCGGGGACACGCTGCCAGTGAGTGTTTGCTGACACGGAACCAGAAGACTCTGCAATCGCACGCACGTTGTCTTTGAGCAATGCACGGCAAGCAGCGTTAGGGAAGGTGAAACGTGGGAGGAAAGGGAAGCTGGAGGCATCCAGGAAAAAAAAAAAAAAAAGCAGTGGAGAGCTGTTGTTGCTCTGCTTTTTTTCCTGGATGCCTCCAACTTGGGCAGTGCAGCGTGATGGGGCAGAGCGCTGTACAGAGTGCTGTGCTGGATTCTCACCAGCCCGCCGCTTCAGAGGGAAGCGTTAAACCCTGGGATGTGCCACGTGGACACACGTCTGCCCTGGTGTTAGGACACACGTCCCTTGTGGGTGCCGCACCGGCTGTGCCCTGCGGTGGGCAGGAGGGTTTGCTGCCACCGGCACAGCTCTGGTCTCTCCTCTGGTCTCTCCTTCCTAACCACCCGCCAGACCACCCAACTGCTCTTGGCTGCAAGTCCCACAGGTTAATTATGTGCTGGGTTTAAAAATATCCATTTTTATCATTTTAAAATAAATTGTGTTTCAGTTTCGCTGGCTTTCGCCTTCTTTTTGGATAAAAGAAATGGTCGATTTACCGTGCAGCCTTTTGGATACCTCTAGCACATCCCTTTCCCTCCTCCTGCTCCCTCACGGTCCCTGTTCGGCTGTGATCTCTGCCTGTTCCCCAGCAGTGCCACCGCGTGTCCCCAGCCATCGGCAGAGTGGGCACCTCCTCCGCTGCGCCGTGACAGACCGTGCACAAGCCGGGCGGTTTCCTTCTGCACTGGAGGCAGGATTCCCATTGACATTAAAATTTCCTTATCGTCTGTCCTCAGCCTTAGCAGGCTGATTAAAGGTCTGAGCCCTTTGATTTGAGCCAAAAGGAGTCGGCGGCATGTGAGACATCTCCCTGGGTCTGCAGACCCTGCAGCCTGCAAACCCCGAGCCAGCTTATCCTCATCGCCTGCCCCAGCCCGTCCCACTCTGCTGCTGCAGCGTCCCATGCCAACTTCACCGCAGGGCGATGCACACAGAGACCATGTGGGCGCTTACCTTTGAAGAAGAAAGCCTCTCCCCTGATCTGGGCCACCGCGTCAAAGTGAGTGTTGCATCTGTTGGGCACGTCCCGCCTGAGCCTGCGGAGAGATGCCCAGGTGAGCACAGCCCAGGCGGGCAGCGGGGACCCACGTCCTCCCTGGTGTCCTCCATCCCGCGGACTACATCTCCCCTGCCCCCAGAGCCCCCAGCAGAAGACCACAGGCTGCGTCCATCTGTCGTTCCTCATGCTCAGACCCAGCCATCCGCACGGGGATTTCCGAGGCGAGATTGGGAAACCCTTAGCCTGAAGACAGCTTTGTGGCAGACACGCTCCCTGGGCCGCTGGAGGCCATCGCTGGGAGTCAAGCGGGGACACGCTCTACATCTACCAGCTAGCATAACTGGTGAGGGCAGAGCTGGCTCGCCGCTCCCCGGTGGCACAGCGTGGCTCAGCCGACTGCCCCCGGGCAGCAGGACACGTGGTGGGCAAGAGCCAAGCAGCATCTTGCTCCGGCAGCTGGGGACGTTGCTGCTCTGACGCTGAGCTCCGAAATGCCCGCAAGAGGTGACAGAGCTGCAAAGCAGAAAGCAGATGAGACCAAACACAGGGAGACGATGCCACATGCGAGACGATGCCGTGTGACGTGTGGTGAAAGCCACCCGGCAAGTTGCAGCTGAGATACTGAGCTGCTTTTAACCAGGTGGGTGGGAAAGGCACAGAGTCCGAAGGACCGAAAGAGCTACAAAGCCCACGTGAGAAATGACGACTGATGGAGGACAAGGAGAGGATGCTGGGAACATGCACAGAAAAGCTGCTGTGGGTGACGGGAAAGCATAAATCTAATTTGCTGATAGAAGAGTTGTGCTGGGCTGCCAGTACCCATTTCACAGCTCTCTTTGGGCGCAAAACGACAGATGGGGAGGTGAACCCCATCCACCCTCCCATTCATACACGGGGCAGGAAGAAGGGGAGGGTATGAACAAGTGCCCTGCTCCTCCTGCTGCTGGTGTGAGACGATGGTCTCCTACAGCAGCAGAGAGAAATACTTTCATCTCTAGGTCAAAACATGGCCATACAGACCCTTGTGGACAAGCTCCATTAGAAGCTACATGGGAAGAAAGATAACTAATGGCATTCAGCATATTCAAGGGAAAAGGGTCCGTTAGGACCCTCATAGGCTTTCTGCAACCCCTGGCAGGTGGGACACCTCCACCAAGAGCAGGTGCTCAGCACCCCTCTACTGTGGGCATCGCACCAGGCAGGGCAAAGTGGCGTGAAGAAGGTGCTGAGGTGGGAAACATAACTGCAGCACCGGGACATTTTTTCAAGATTATATTCTTCTTGGTCCCATTCCTGTAGGAATAATCTGGTTGTTCATGCTTCAGTGTTGTTATCCCCTTTTTGCAGATGGGGCATTGAGGCACAGAGGGATGAAGTGACTTCCTCAAGGTCAAACCCCAGGTGAGGTTAGACCAGGAGGCGAAGGTGACCTGCTCCATCTCTGCTGCTCTCACCTGGGGCACTGCTGGTATCTGGCAAAAATATGCGTGACCATGAACTCCTGCCTTTTTGTTCAGTGTCCCTTCCTCTTTTAACTGTCCTGCTGCCCTGGTAGTAAAACACTTTGGTAACTCCAACATTTATTAATGAGCTAGATCCAGAACTTCCCTTAATGAGGGCACGCTGGTTGCTTGATGACACTCAGTGTAAGCAGTCCTTTGCCAATTCAAACCTGCGTTGGAGTCAGGCTATCGGTCCACTTGTTCCAATATTCACCCCCCACAGGTACATTAGGGAGTTGCTCACCGTGGAAAGATTCAGGTAAGTTAGGCTTGCACAAATCAGGATATTGCAGACGAAGTTTGATTAAAATTTCAGCAAGGTTGAGTTCACCTAAGGGTGGTGGGGACAAATTTCCATTAACATGAGTAAAATTTTGAGTCTTAGGGAAACACAAAGCATTCCAAGATGATACAGGATTTCTGGATGTGCCTTGAATGATAAAAAGTAGCTAAGGGATAGATAAAACCTATCACTTGTTCCTGCTTTTAACCACTTTGGTTGTGGGCTGGCTGGCCAGTCTCCACACATACTGCTTGAAAAAAAGCAGCAGTGTATGCAGGAGATGATCAGGAGACATGAGGAAGAAGGTGCACTTTCTGTGTGTCTGTGTTTTCCAGAAGACAAAAGGTCCAGAGGGAAATACTGAAGCCAGAGTGAGCGGGCAAGATACTGATGCTTGAGTGGAGCTTCACTACTAGATGTCCTTTGCAGGAACATCAGCGACTGTTGAAAAGAAACAAACTTGACTTACGGGACAGTGGAGCGGTTCTCTGGCAGCTCTGGCAGGATAGGATGGTCATCGGTTTTGCTTACTTCAGGCTTGGCTGTGGGGGACACAGATTCCCTGACTCCTGCGCATAAAGACAAAGAAGCAGTAGAGGGCTACACCATCTTCCCCACCAGCTCCACTGACCCCAGAAGACAGCTATTCCAGCATGCCTCATGGCAGAAATGGGCTGTAGCCAGGTGAGGGAAACAAACTTACCGTAGAGTTGCCAGATTCGGACTTTGTCCTCATAAGGTAGGTCATACTTCAGAGGATCCCCCACTGGACCTTGGTAGTAGGGTCTCATGATAGACTCTATGGCAGAGATGTGGGTCAAGCCAATGGCATGGCCAAACTCGTGGACAGCTACAGCAAATAAGTCCATCCCATGAGCGTCTGGAAATAGAGACAAAATTGAAATAAAAGTCGCTACATGCTGATTGTGTTTTGGGGGTTTGGGTGGGCTGTAAGGGCTGTAAGAAGAAATGTAGGTATATGTTGGATAAATTGGAAAGAAAAGCTTTGGAATAGGTAAAGTCTAAAAAAGACATTTTTCTCCAGTTGGAAAAAAGGAGACCTAAGTGTATCATATGAAAATGGAAAGCAAGCCAGACATCAGCCCACACTGCAAGTCCTCAGCTCCACACAAGCATAGGGATCACCCCTCTTATTCCCAGATCCCCAATGACACCTGACAAAGAGCTGGACAAAGAGCTGAGACAGTGACCTTGGCACAACCATCCGTCATCCCCACTAACCAGCGCTGCAGGAGCTGGGCCAGAGTGGTCGTCTCCTGTACCTTATGCCTGCCCTGCAGCAGCTGCCGACACAGTCTTCGTGATGTCCAGAATACCAAATTTCTGCAGCCGCTAGCCAGAAGCTTGTCAAAGCCTGCGATAATGAGCAAAGCCACACGCCAAGGAACCGGCGAGTGCCCGGCAGTGCCCGCCTGCCCATGGTGCTCTGCTGGGCTTTCCCTGCCTGCACAACGCTGGCATCGCACGCCTCTGCCCTGGCCAAATTCACTGCAAACGCCTTCCTGCATGCATACAAACGCGGAGCTGTTCACCTGCTCATCGGCCACCAACCCTGGTCATCTAACTGCTGTCCAGTGACCATATCCAGCTTGTTTCCAGAGGACTTGGTCGTCTTCTCCCCTTCTACACCTTGTGCTGGTGGGGCTGCAGCTCCAGGGTCTCCTCCCTAAGGCAAACACTTTGATCCTCACACACCATGCTGGGCATCAGGGAGACTTTATTGAACATTGATACCTCCTTCGATGACTTTTTTTCCTCAGTCTAGACTATCTCTATTCTATTCTCTTTCCCCAGATTTCTGTATTTGCAATCCAACCCCTAGTGCCTCACACTGCACCCACACACAGACCCATCCAATACTCTCCAGAGCCTCAGACACTCAGGTCAGATCTCAACAGGGGCTAATGTCCGCTTCCAAACCTACACCACCACTGCCAAAGCAAAGGAGGAACTGCTTCCAGGACCTGCACGGGACTGATCCTGCTCGGTGCATTCTCACCACCCAGCCCCAGACTAGCTGGATCAAGCACCCATGCAATTGCTGCCCCTCGCTGCACAGCAATGCCCTGCAGAGCAATACCAGAGGGCGGCAGTGATTTTAAGTATGGTTCTTACCAAGATCATGATTGCAGTATTGTAATAAAAAGGCAGTGAGGTCGGAAAGGTCTCTGCAGAGCTCGGGGGAGCCCCACATTCCCTGAGCCACGGTCGGGGCCTGAGGAGGTAGATGTTGCATAGAAGCAGCTGTGGCTGATCCTGCACAGTCCTTAGTGCTCCCCACTGGGCTTGGGTTGTTGCGGGGGGTTAGGGAGGTAGGGGCGGGCATATTTTTGCTGAATTCTGCTTTTTCCTTGATGACTATTATTTACAGTGTCTGTAAACAGCCAGGATTTTTATAACCTGTGCTGTTTTCCCCAGCACTAGAAGAGAACAAGACATATGCTTTCTGACATTTTAATGCCAAACTGACAACCTTGGGGATATTTTTATATCATCTACCAGGTTGTTATTTTTGAATCGCTAGGGAGAACAAAATAAATAAAAGATGAAGCTTGGATAGCTCCAAGACCTTCAAAATAGAGGGCAGCTTTCTCGCTGTCTGGTTCATCCCTTCATCCCTTGGTGGTGCTTGGAGGGATCCTCCCTGCGAGGCCGGCAGCCCCGAGCTCGCTCCTCCACACAAGCCTGTTTCACAACAAGCATTCCCAACCACCAGCTACAAAAGGGGCACCACTCCTTACTTCATCACATAACACATGTGCTACAGCAAGTTACCAGACCTCAGCGCTTGCCTCTGCCCTGTACGTCTGCAGAGCAGAGCTGCTGTTTTTCTTCCCCATAAGAGACGTCGGTTGGGGTTGCACAGTGGCATGAACCAAAGACCAGGTTGAATCCTGAAGAATCAGCCTGTCCAGACCTTTAGCCTTAACCTCAGACCTCCTCCAGCACATCTGGCGAACCTCCTGCCCACAAACACTCCGCAGGGATGGATGGAGGTCAACCGGTGGGCAGGGAGGAGAGGGGCAGGGAGAAAGAAGGTATTAGCTGGTTTCAGGGAAGATGGTTAGGTCTAAACAGAATCATTAAGCTGAGGCAGCAGGAGCCCCCGGGAGGCTGGCAGAGAAGGTGACACGACAAGTAAATTAGCAGCTGGTGACTGCAGAGGAGACACTCTGTCAAAACACAACTGACACGAAGGTTGGGGACCCGATCCCCACAGATGGCTCATGCAGCAGAGGAACACTCGCTTCTGAAAGACCCTCTGCTTATTAAAACTCTGCTCTAGCCAGACAAGATGCAATAAAAGAAAAAAACACTAAAATTGTAACTTGTAACCATCCTGATGTCGGGTAACGGACACAAGATGGCAGGAAAAACCTAGAGTTCACAGGGGGCTTTTTCCCTGCAGACCACAGAGCCCTTTCCAGGCAGGTCAGCTTATAAATAATGCTTTCAAAATAGGAAACTGGGATGTGTGGCAGGGAAGCCACTCAAAAGACGCCAAAGTCGGAGAATGCAGTCCCCATCCAAGAGCTCCAACAGCTGGCACACCCAACCTGTGACCTTCCAGGTCCCAGAAGAGTTGGGGACTGGGGGTGGGCAACGGGGAGCTCTGCAACTGCTGATACAATGGGGAGAAACACGGAGATACCATTGAGGCTTCCAGGAACATAGAAGGTCCTCAACACTGGCTGTTGTCATTTCGCTAGCAAGGCTGAGGGGAGAACCCTCATTCAAAAAGCGAGTGGACGGGGTACTTCAGGACATGGTTTAGTGGGCATGGTTGATGGTTGGACTCGATGATCTTGAAGGTCTTTTCCAACCTAAATGATTCTACGATTCTAACCAGGAGAAGGTGTTGGGATCCCCAAGCCTGGGTGAAGGTGTAGCAGAGGCTAAACCACTCTAACTACCAGAGCAGAGGAGGGAAACTGGGAGCCCTTGCTTTTGGCTGCAGCTCTCCCACCCTGACCTACCTGATGATCGGAAGGTCCAATACTCGTCGTCATCAAAATGAGTGTCTCCTGCCGTGTGATGGTCTCCAGGGAAGAAAGCATGTGCCACTGTCCCACCAGGCCCATCGAAGGGATAGCCGTCATTGTGATCTGCCTTGGAGAAGTCTATCTGGATGTCGGCATTGTTACCTGCCACTTCATGGAAATTCAGAGGGGTAATGTCACTCCAGACCTTCAGGGCGTAGTACATCAGGGCTCGGACTGTGTCATGGCCCAGGTGGGACTCTTTTGGGAAGGTGCGAACTCTGAAAAAAAGAGGGCAAAAAAAGAGGATAGATGAGTAGCATGAAAGATCTTCTCTGAGGACCACCAGGAAGGGCTCTGCAGGTGCCTGGTGCATCACAGAGCCTCGGTGAGGCCTCCAGAGCTCTTCGCACTCCTCCTGAGTGTGGGACCTCTGGAAATACCGAGCCAACCTTGCCCAACAGAGCATGAAACACAACCAGGACTTGAATCCTGATGCCTCCCGATCCTGCTGTACCAGGTGGCAGTTAGCCTCAGAGCCACAATTCATGCACAAACTGCTGTTAATAACCCAGGACTACTACCTTTGCCCAGCCTTGGAAATGTCAATGCCGTGAGTCCCTTGCCCATTTTTTTTTTCAAGCTCCCTTTCAGATCTGTTGACAATTATTTTCTCACCACTTATTAGTTCCAAATGCAACCCAAATATGCAAAGATTATTGACTCCTGAAGCCTTTGCACCACACACAGGCCCATCAGTTTCTCTGCAACAAACAGCAGGTCATTGCTCATTCTTATTACACACACAGAAATCCAGTACGGATTTGCTGCCTCCATATATTTCCCAGCATATCTGTTGGAGGTATAAAATATCCTCTGAAACCAGTACACTGCCAGCAATCTCTGAGACTGCAATTCATAATGAGGAGGAAGAGGAAAGGATGCATTTTATGTAAATCTCATTCAAAACACCTCCAGCCTATTGCCTGCAGGAGACAGGCTGTCTGATGGAGCACTGTAGTTGAGAAGCTCTTGCCTTGCTTCTTGGTAGAAAAAGCAGTGATGAGCAGGGGCTTACAACACTACTGCACACATCCCAGGACTGTTATAGTTTCTCTGTTATCAGCACTGCATCCCTTGGTCCCTAGCTCTGCCTTCCCTGGAAGAGAAGCCAGGTGGGACGAGCCGTGTGCCGGCGTTTGCCCTGCAGCTGCATGATTCAAACCTCCCTTTTGGTCTGAGCTGGAATGAAAAAAAAAGTCCCTGTTTCCTGTATAATCAAACTTTGAAAAAGAATTCCTAACATTGTTGATTTAATAAAGGAGGTGAAAAGACAAAGATGCAACAAGGCACCTTGGCTTCTAAAAGAGTATGTTTAGATAATCTTTCATTGACAATTTTGAGAAAAATAAACACCCTCCAGGAAAATGTACTGTTGACTGAGTAATTATTGACAAAAACCAATTCTGCTGGAAAATTTCTGGCCAGCTTTACCCCAGTAATAATGGATACTTTATTTTTTGTATACAAGCACACCAACCAAAACGTTCATGAAAAATTCATGGCTTGACAGACTTTTAAAGGCTGAAGCAACAATTTTGATCGCCTTACTTGCCCTCCTGCATAATATAGCTGGGAGAGCATCGCTCAGTATTACACCACTCCCCCAGCACCAATGTGAAGTAATGATCTGACTAAACTTCTAGACGTTATCACAGGTATCAGAAAGGGACGTGACATCATGTCACTCAAGCTCTTCTTATGAGTAGTGATTTGGGTACTGGGAGACACATGGGTCAGAGGAGGGCAGTAGGAACGACTTGCTGACTGAGGTTGGATGCTCTCGCTTCCACAAATATTTACATATATCCCACGCCCTCAGAGACACACAGCCCAAGGTGGGTACCACCTCCTTACCTGGGCAAAACTAGTGAGGGTTAAATCCAGGACAGAACAAAAAGGGACTCATGAGAACAAGCAGAAATCTTACTAACAGTTTCTCTGGAGAGCTTGGGAATTCTATCCTAGAGATGGTGGGAATGAGATGGGTGAATCAGGCAAAACACATCACAGCCAGATGAGCAAAAATCACTCACATCCATGCCTTTGCTATCCCTGTTATCCCTGCTAAACTGTTCTGGGCAAAGAAAGACCTTATCTACTAAACTAAATGAGCCAGCATACATGTAGCATCAGATGATCATAGGACTTCAAACAAAACACATTTGTAAAGACAGCATAGAGGTACAAGCAGGATTAGAGAAGACAATTTTCAAGCAATTTTTAGTTTCTAGAAGAGGCTGTGGCTGGATGTAAACCTCTACAGTACACACAAAAAAAAAAAGGCCAGCTGGTTTCCAGGTATTCTTTAACTAGGTGCCTTCATCTTCCACAACACTCCTCTGGACTTAGGCAAACCCTTTGCTGCTTTAATCTCTACTGAACAAGTCATTATACATGTAAACCACACCATGTTTAGTCCAGGAATTACAACCTATCTCCAAGATCATGGTACCTAGGGCACAGACTCAGATTCAGGGACATTATCTGCTCTTCCCTCCTCAAGTTCTGCTCAATCACATGAGCTGCTTTCCTTTTCTTCCCCTCCCTTTCCAGCTGTAGAATGAGGATAATGAATCTGATCTCCCTTGTAAAAGGATGGTGGATGAAAAGCCCTGTCTAAAGAGACAAACATTATTAATATTCATTCCAACCCCTGACTCCAGAAACATTAGATTAAGGCAGAAACAGTATCAATACTTATTTTGCTTCTTATAAGAGGTCCCGCATCTCTGAGCTGACCCACATTTTATTAACATGCTGCAGGTGTAAGTGAAAAATCCCCCATCCTTTATTCATTACCACCGTTATTTTTCAAGAAAATCCCATCAGGGTTTTTCAATTCAACATCTGATTTGATTGCCAGAGCTCTGCTAATTGTTTTCAATGAGATTAGGAGAAGACTATTATGCTGATAGGACGTTCGTCAGCACTGCATTACCCAGTTCCACTGAAAAGGAGGCCCGTTTCTAATGTCATGCAGATGCAGACAGGACTAAGTAAGCTTCCTCCTACCTTGATTATTATTATTATTATTTGTATTAAATGGCACTTAGGTACCCAGCGGAGAGCAGTGCTCATTCTTCTTGGATGTTAATCCCTCCTGAGACTCCCCTTACAGAGCTCCAATCGTAGCCAAAAGCCCGATGTGAGTAATTGGAGAGAAACCTCTCCCCTCCAGCAGGTCCCTGCCAAGCCACCGGCAAGGTGATGAATGAGGACAAGGCTCCTCGGTCCCCCTCCGGCCACCCCACCGAGGTGGCCCCGAGCCACGGCATCAGTCACATCCCTCTGCAAAGCCACGCACTGGGACACCCTGGGGAGCATCCGTGGCCGCACGAGGCAACGTCAGCCGTGACGCTTGAAACAGCGGCTGCCGAGCAGCACCTGGCTGTAAGCGGCACAACTGGATGCCAAGGAGAACAACTCTGCTTTTAGAGCTCACCGAGGCAGCAGCACCGCCACGCAGACAAATGAAGGCTGAATTTCACCCGGCTGCTGCCAGTCCTTCACATGTCCCCCGAGTCCTGTCCTTCACTTGTCCCATCCCCAAGAGATTTTGGGTCCAAGGTGGTTAATAAGTAGAGGCCAGAGAGAGCTGATCTGCCTCTGCTCGCTATTGAGGGACACCCACACCAATGGTTCTTCTGATTTCTAGGTTCCTTTTTGGTTTTCGTCCTCCCAAAGACAAAAGTGGAAGAGTATTAGTGATGTATGAGAAATCAATTGCTGGTTAATGAAAGCGCTCCTTCACCTTCTGCAGCCCTGAAACCACAGAGAAATAAAATAAATGCTGATAACTACCAAACACAGCAGGCTAAGGATTACCTGATATACCCAAATTGATTTTTTGGAGGTGGGAGGAAAAGGGGTGGATGCTTACTGCCATGGCAAAGATGCTTTCCCAGCTGCCCGGAGCCACCCGTGGCACAAGCAGTGGCATGACCCGTGGCATGGCAGCCCCGATCCGGTGCTACCCCGACACTGTTGTGACACCCCAATGCCACAGGAGGAAAGCAGTGGAGCTGCTTGCACCCTCCATTGCACCTCTGCCAGCACTTTGCAAAAATTACTGAATATTTTGGGGTGATAATCCTTTTCCGGCACTTGAATATGCACATAGCACCAGGCAGCTCCCTGTAGCCCAGCAACAGGTGCCGGCAAGGGAATTATCCATCCCAGGGAGAAGAGGTGGGGGAAAGCAAATTTCACAGCCGGTTTCTTGGGTTGTGAGAGGAGCAGCTGCTCCAGCGGGGTGCTGCTGGAGTGGGGCAGCTGCCGGCACTCTGCTCCAGCCGCTCCGGGCTTTTGCTACGAGGGTCCCAGTTGCCTGCAATGGGTGCGTTATGAGAGCCCTAAAGCAGCTCCAGACTGGGGGGAGACACTCCTGCGCCCCTCGGGCATCTGTCACCCCCAGGGAATGGGGGGCACAGCTGTCTGTGACCAGCTGGGCTTGGGCTAGGAGGTCTCCACTGTGCGATGCCACCGGTTAGAGGAGGAAAGCGGGAGGATGAGGTCCATCGTGGGGATGGGAGCATGGTACTGGGGGTCACCCAGATTGGACACCTTAACCTGGCGGTACGTGCGCAGCAGCTGCCCTTCCATGCCTTGGTCAATCCATATCTCAGGTCAGGCAGCGCCGTACCTCTGCTGCGGGTGGGCTCAGGATGCTCCCGGCGGCGATGGGCAGCGACTGACAGACGACGCTGCTCCCCTGCCGCCTGCGTTTGTTCCGGCTCCGGCACCTCGTGTCCTGAGCGCCGCAGTTTCAAAGACTGCAGCTTTGATGAAGTGGCACCAGGGACCCGTCCTTAATTAAAGATGGATGAAAGTCAGCTCAGTTCAGCACCGGGCTGAGATTTTAGCAAGAAAAAAAACCTGGGAAATTTAGAAAGCTGGGCTTCGGGGCTTCCCCCTGCCCCAGGGAGTTCAAGGCATGCAGAGAGGGGGCACGGCTCTGACACTGCATTTCCCATGACCGCAAGGAGACGGCGAGCGCCTGGGAAGAGGCGGACATGCCGGCCGTGAACTCCCCTTCTGCGGGGCATAACCAGAAGCAAGAAAGCAAAGTTAGCAAAAGAAAAATCAGGCTGCAAACGCAAAGGGGAACAGGCTGCGGGCAGCTCCCAGCGCTGAAGCCAGCAGAGGGCATTGGCAGCACGCTGCTCCCCACACCAGCCACATCCCAAACCCATCCCGCTGCCGCCTCATCAGCTTACCAAGTGCCCTGGTACCTATGTACCATGCAGAAAAAAAAAATCCCATTAAAAGATTGCTGTCTTGTAATATCCTGGAAACATCCATTGGAGAACAGGCACAGAAGACCGTGTGTCTGACGCTGTAGCGGGATGCTCTGACGCTGTACGACAGGCTGTGCAGGATGCAACCTGTACTGTTTTGCCACCTTAGCTCTCCAGTCCCACAGGCTGGCTGTACGCAAGGGTAAAAAGAAGAAACCTGAGCAACCTGCATGCCTATAAAGTCTTGTTTGTCAGACACTGCATTCTCCATCAGTGCAGATGCCTATCCTGAGATCATCCTTTTGTACAAGTTTCTTACCCATTTATTCCAGTTGTTCAGGTTCTTCTTCAATTTTTAAATGCATGCCATAATAGAATTTGGTTTTGTTTTCTTTTTTGAAAATCTTCAATCAATGTGTAAAAGGTAAGCATGTAAAACGTTATGCCTCTACTGGCAGATTTTCATGGCAGTTTCAAAAAGCTATTTTAATCTCAAGTGCTGGATGTAAATACTGTGTTGGAGTTTCTATAATGCTATAGCCTTCTGTTGGCTTATACAACTTCCAGCTATAAAATACAGACCTTTCTTGAACAAAAGCCAAGATCTTGGAAAGGATCAAAGAATAAAAAGCAGAAATGACTTTGTCAGGAGATGGAATTCGTATATTATACATATAAAATCGTCTCAGACCTAAACCCCGTTTTATGGCAATCTTTGCCGCAGCATCACAGCTTCCGAGGGGGTGGGAGGCGGGCAGTATCCCAGGGCTGCATCCACCAAAACAGCCCGACCCTGTTTCCCCTCCACACTTCGCTCCAGCCTGGGACTACGGACATTGGACCAGCATGTCTGGAGTCCTGGTGGTACCTGCAGCACTGGGCTCTTGACTGCACCGCCTGGCTACCGCACCTGCCCTGCTGTGGGACATAGCTTGGGTTTGTCCAGCCCAGCTTTGCTCAGAGGAGCTGCTGGGTTCAGGGCTGCAAACAAGCTGTCCCCCCTGCGCTGGCTCTGGCAGCTCGTGGGACGTCAGGGCAGGTTTTACTGATTTGCCCAAAGGGATTTTTTTTCCTCTCTGAAATGTGAAGTTTATTCCTCTTACCCATGAAGACGGGGCTAGTCAACGGGGGGACAGGCTGAGCTTTTATAACATGGGTCACTTCACTACGAGAAGCCATCCATGAGCCAAAATTGTTTCTTACTGAAGCTAACAACGGCTTAATTATGTTTATCTTTTCTGAAAATAAGGTCTCAGGAGAATGTGCTGGACCAAATCCCTGGTAAGGCCAGAGTTTCAACACATGTCAACAGCGACAGCCAAGTCGAGATTTGTTACTGCAGTGGGAGGTAGACCCGCTCTAGGGATTATGTCAGGATCAAAGAGAAGCTTATTATTAATAAGATCTCTCTATAGCATCCACATGTGTTTTCAGGATAGTACGAGCACCTCATGGTGCTCACCTTTCTTGGAGGAACAATCACTGCAGCATGTGGTCTTTGAGGGAGGAAAAAGGAGTCCCAAAAAGCACAAGTCTTGGTGGGACAGGAATCAGCTTGTTTGCCATCCCTGACCTGCAGCGTGACTGCAAGGGGCTCTCGAGGTTGGACCCGAACTTCTGTGTGTCACAGGTTCAGTGACCCACACATGTCGCTCCCTGACGTCAAGTGAAAAACACTCCCCTGTAGCAAGGGGAATATGGGGCTGTGGAGAAAAAAAAGTGACTCTATTACCCAGAAAATGCTCCCAAACCTTGGGCTCACGTGGGGCAAGAGAAGAAGCCTAATCTGTGCTGAGCCAAGTCTGTGGCAGCTGCTTGAGAGAGTGCAAAGTCCCAGTGAACTCAAGAGAAATGATGCTCTAACCGCTGCAACGCAGCAAAAAGCTCCCAGCTAATCCACTGGCGAAATCTGCACCATTCCCAGCTGGCGGCCGAGCGGGTCCAAGAAGTCAAGGCTAGGATCGGCAGGAGAAGAGTTTAAATAAATAGTCTGTGGGGTCCTGGGAGCACAGAGGGACACGTTTCAACACGTCCCCCTAAAACTCACCACAAAGCTCTATTTAACCCAGGTCTGTGTGGGATCAGCCCTTTGCTGCAACATTTCGGTATGGGAGGATGAATTCCTACCTCCAAGACAAGTTCCTTTTGCTCCACTTGGTGACAGCCTGCGTGAATCGCTTCCTCCTGCTCTCTGTGATGGCGAGGTCGGGCAGAGAGCAGCGAGGGGTCTTCATCAGCTCCAGCGTGGCTTCGTCTAGGGTTAGAAAAAAAATAAAGAAATCATAGGAATGGTGGGTTAAGAAATCCCAGGGGCGACAGGGAGAAGGGAAGGGAAGTGCTGAGGATGCAGCAGCGGAGCGAGAGGTAGTGCCTGGGAGCCCTTGGGGCATGGTCCTGGCCCCAGCATCACCCATGTGGTGCCACCCATGGGACACTGAGCCCTCTCCATGCCACGGTTGCACCCACCGACGGCAGCAATTCCTGCTGAAAGCCCATTTCTTCAAAGCAGCCACCAGCTGGGGCTGCCAGGAGGTGAGGGGAGATGACACCCCACGGCCAGGGGGTACGGTGCTATCTCTGCTGTTAGCGACAATGGACGATTTTATTGATTTCGGGAGGAAATGCAGCAGGTTACCTCTTGCACGACACTCTACAGATCTCGAAAACTTGTATGGAAAACCACCTGTGGCCAGCTTTGATTACACATTAAACCATATTTTTTAAATTATTCTGTTTTGTTCTCTCTTGCTGAATTTCCCATTATTCCCCTGGCAAAGCAGAGATGTTCACATGTAAATAAACTATATCTCTGTTCAGCTAGGAGCTCATTTGGAAAATGTTCATATTCCTTCTTACTTATTTTTAAAACTGAATGAAAGCTTAAAGCTCCTATTCTCATCTGCTGAAAGGCAAACAAGTTGTTCGTTCATCCATTTTCCGTGCTGGCTTTACCTCTTAAACACTCTTTCAGATGCAAACCCACGTCCACAGCCTGCCTGGGGCAGCCCCCCCAGGCCTGTTTCAAACACCCCCTCCAAAAATGAAAATGCAAATGCATTTGAAAGGCCATCCTTGCTCCCGGGCCTCCTGCGGCCTGTGATAAGGTAGAAGAGAAATAATTGCATGCACTCAATTAAGAGCGGAGAGGGAAAAATCTCAGCGATGGGACGCGGCCAGCGGCTGCTCAGGCAGCAGCTGCTCCGGGGGACCGGCGGAGGGCTGCCGGGGGCAGCGGGATGGACGGAGACTGGCCTGCTAATTAGCAACTTCTCATTAATTCCGTCCCAAGCAGCAGAACTGAGCTGGCCACGTGGCGGGAGGTCGCGGCCGTGCGTCAGGGAGGAGAGGAAAGCAGACAGGCACCCTTCCAAAGGCCAGGATAATGCTGGCTTTCTCTTTCCCTCAATGAGGACATTGAGAGGAACGACCTCGGCCATGCCAGGGAAGCTTGTGTCACTTCAGCCTGGCCTTGGGCTGCTCCCTCCCAGCCAGATGTGGCCACCACGTCAGGCAGAAGCCACCCGCTGCCCTGTCCCGTTGACCGCTGGAGCTACTGGGGAGGGTGACGGGCTCTCAGCTGGCCAGGGGCAACCGGGGGTGGCTGCCCAGAGCCACCGTGGCTCGGCGAGAGCCAAGGAGACCCCCTCCAGCTCCGCAGGCACCTGGGGGCTCTCTGCATCATGGGCAGGAGCGAGCAGCGCTGGGGGGAGGCAACACCATCTTCCTCCCTCCCCTACGCTCTGCCCCAGTGGTGAAGAAATCAGAATATCTACATGTACAAATTAGGAGGCTTAATTAGGATTTTTGTCCAACTCAACGTGATGCTGCAATTAAGGCTTTGAACAGGACAACCTATCAGCCTTAGTTTCTCTGTTTGGTTTTTTTTTCTTTTTTTTCCTTTTTTTTCTTCTTTTTTTGTTTGAATACACCAAGAGCTATTTTAAGCTATTTTAAGCACGACAGGAACCCCAAGGGTGTGTGGGTCTGGTGAAATAATTGCTTGCCTCAGGTTCTTGAAAGCACAAGGCAACAAAGCACCTGAGCCATGTAATTACTCTTACAGCTGTAAACTGGGCCATATGTTACCCCCATGTGAGCTTTTCCTGGAGATGATGCTACTCCACAACTCAGCGCCAAGTGCCCTCTCGTCCCCGGACCTGCAAGGAGCCATCCCTGCATCCCTCTGCACCGGAGAGAGAAGGGATCATGAGCCACTGACCTAGGACCCCCGTCGCCTCGAGCCCCCCAAACCGCTGCATGGCAGTGATGGCCTTGGTGAGCTCCTCCTGCGTCTGCAGTTGTCCTGTGACAGGATCCGGAGGAGGCAGATACCCAAATTTTGTCAGCCAGTCCTATGAAACGAGAAGAGGGCAGAATGAGAAAAGGAAAGGAAGGAAATACGTACGCAGGGAAAAATGCTCCAAAGGTCCCATCCATTCTGCTCGGAAATCCTTTTCCCATTTACACATTTATACCTGACTTCTCCATCGAACTGCTAACAAATGGACATGTCAGGACGGATCTGTACACATCACTTCAGTAATGCGATCTGGCGACCTTCACACATTCCAAGGGTGACATCTAATTTTGCCACCCAGCTGCAGACCATCTTTGATAGCAGCAGCAGCAGCAGAGCCCCAACCCGAGGGTCACACAGGCGCCTTTGATTCTCCCCTCGGACACTGGCAGCTCTTACTGGAAACTTGTTGCAGGGCTGAGCACAGCAAGGGGAGGAAAACCGCTCGTTGTGAGGGCCAGGCAATGCCACCTCCCTTGGGACCTCACTTCCAGTGGGGGCCCACGAGGGTCTTGGGGACGGTCCCCGGGTCTGATGGAGGAACCTCGCCGGCCTCTGGCCGAGGCTGCAGCTGGGTTTTGCCCAACTTTGTCTTGGTCGGACCTCTCCGACCATATGTGCTGGGCTTTAAACTTTCTGCTGTCCCCCACAGGCACCACAGTAAGGTCACAGCTTCCCATGAGGGGTGGGTGACAGGAGGGGACCTTTTCTCCTCCCTGCCAGCATGGGGAACACCTCTGTGGCCAAGTGCCCTTTGCAAGTCCTTCCATGTCCCCATGCCGGCACAAGAGCTGTGCCTGCTCTCCAGGTCCCTTCAGCTAATCTGCCACAACACTATCATCCTGCTGTGACATTAATTGACTTGCTGCGATCTCCCGTTGCTTTCTAGTCCATGAATGACTGGGGTGGCTGAGCTTTGAGATTGCAGTGCATTAAGGATGCAAACAGCTTGGCAGAGGCTCCCTTCATCCAGTGGAGATGAGCTGGGACACAGGGATGAGGACATCCCTGAGGTCCAAGTCCCCTCAATGCACCCTAATAGTTTGAGGACGTTAGGTTAACGGCTGGACTCAATGATCTTAAGGATCTTTTCCAACCTAAATAATTCTATGAGAGTGACTTGTTTTACCTTGACATTCACAACACTAGGATTTTGACTGGAAACAAACCCAACCGTGAAGTCCCCAACCCCACTCTGACCCATACAGTCATCCGAGAGCCAAGGCGGATGACCTCAGCATTGATACAAAACTGAGCCCTCTGGAGAAAAACACCATGGAGTCGTAACATGCCAAGCCACTTCCTCAGAGTCCACCATGTGTGGTGGGACCTCGACTTGGTCCCCTTCCACCAGTTCCCAGGCAACATGATGCTGCAGCCACAAAGTTTCAGCTTCCAGGAACCGAAATGCCGCCCCAGCGAGACCCAGCGGTTTCCCAGCAGTGCTGTTGCCCTCCAGTGCAGCAGGGAGGGGTATGGGGACAGGGAGCAGAGGAAAACCCTGCAGCAGCCTTCCCCTAAAGTTTGGCCAATGCCAAAAACTCATCCCTGCTGATTGATGGCCCTCGTCATTTAAAAAAAAAAAAACAAACCCCAAAACCTACATAAATGGATTTTTTATAAAACACTGTAAGAAAATCCCACTGATGATGGCAGCAGGTTTGTAAACTTCAGATTATTTATTCAAAGGGATAAATCTGCAGTCATGCTCACCCCAGAAGCACCAGAAGTGTGAGGACTGGCTTACTGGCGAAGCTGAAACCTCAGTCACCCGCAGCCCCGAGCAGGGCCGTCTGGTTTATTTAAGCAGAGAAAAAAATGGCTTTTCTCTCTGTGCCCTCCTCTCCAGCATTTCCATGTGCCCTGGTTTAACCATCTCCCTGCCAGTTGCCTGAAAGCGTTTAGAGCCAGGTGTGGGCGTCTCTACCACCAGAAAGCAGTGGGGACCTGTGAAACACCCGTGTGTCCCTCTTTGCCAAAGCCTAAGCAAGCACAGCCCCATGCCAGCGATCACCCTGCCATGGGTGCCTCATTAAACCCAAGACCATTATTTGATAGGAATTTGTCTCTCAAAGGACGATACATTCTTATGAAGATCTTTCTTTTCCTCTTTTCAGCCTAAAACTGATGAAAAAATTGCCATAAATCTCCTTCTTACAACTGCTTTTTAAATGTCTGGTGAATTATCGTTCTAAATCCTTTCTTACCTTCCTTCTCGCTCCCCTCCCCCACCTCGGCAGAAGGATCAGCAAAGAATAATAATACCACATGCAGGGAATGCCATAAACACCTACCCTTTATTTTCTTTATCTGTATCAAAGAAACATTGATCTATTGAGCCTCTTGAAGACTGATATTGATCTAGACTTCCACTGCGGTCAATACGCCACAAATTCATTGTAGTCAGATTAGTGCCAAAAGTCAGTACCTGCTTATCGCTACAATCTGAATGTCGTATAGCTTGGTGTCACCTGCAGCGGCCACCCGAATGCCACAGCATCCCCAGTCCCTCTCTGGCAAACCCAGTTAAAGAATGTCACACTTACAGAGCTTTATAACACACCTCCCCACACTTGGTGTGGCTCTCTATTGGGGAACATGGTCTCCTGTGCTGGGTTTCTCACTGGTAATTTACTTCCCTCCTCACCCTCCTTCACGGTTGCCTTATTTTAGCAGAGTGGTGTGTAATTACAGCCAGAGAAAGCAGCTTATCTGGCCATTTCTTGTTGCTTGATGCAACTCCATTAGCCACCAGCTTGCCAGCTGCGTGTCAGCATCGTCACAGCTTTCCCTCGCCGTCAGGCTGAAGGCCAGGCCAAGCACTCTCTCCTCTTCTCCCTGCTCCTATTTGTCCCTTTGCATAGCAAAAACATTTGTGACAGAAATTAGAGATACAATTCGCCCTTGATTGTTTATGAGAAATTGGCTGCGACGTGGAGCTCGGCAGCCAGCCCATCAATTGCTGAGGATGGTGGGGTTTAATTTGGTTTCTTCCCCAGCCGTGGAGACAAGTGTCATTTATTCTCTAATGACAGAGGAGCTGAAGCTATGCTGGAGATGTACATAACACAGGTTTGCTCAGGTCCTCCTGGAGATGGAGGTGGCAGCAAAAGGCTGGGGAAAGCAAAGGCACAGTGAGGTCCAGCAAAGGTCCTGCTGCTCTGGCTGCAGCTGGGGCAAGATCTTCTCTCTTAATCCAAAGGGACGGAAAAAGCACAAACACAACTGGACACCCCAGAGCAAAAGAAAAGATGGAAGGAATGGACAAAAATCACAAACCCTTCACCTGATCCACCTTGCAAGCACTGATTTTCCTGAATGTGATTTTTCATGTAGACCATCATGTTTATCATGCCTTACTCAGATTCTCCATAATTTTATAGTCCTCTGTGATATTACTCTCATTCATCTCTTTTCCAGCGTACAGGTTCTGGCCTGTTTCCTCTCTCCTCATAAGCAAAGCTGATCCATAATATTGAACTTTCACATTCCACCTTTGCTGTGGCAGAAAATTTCATTACGGAAAATGCAGCTGGATTTGGAGATGAGAAAGACCAGCAGGAATTGTCTGGCTAATTATCTGTGTGCCCTGTGAAAGCTTTTCAGATATTTTCTTGTCCTTACTTAAAACAAAAGCTAAACTCATAAACTTCCATAGATGAAAATATGAAAACATTTTCCACTGAGATAACTTCAACATGTTCCCTTCTTATTTAACTTTTTTTTAATAAAAAAAGGCTTTTTTCCCCAACTCATTAGCTTAAAATGTTTAAATGAAGCAGTGATTTGAGCTGAATGCTGAAATTCTTTGAACATTTTTCTTGCCTGAGTTAGCATGATAAGAACTTTTCCCTAAAAATGTGCTGTGCTGAATGAATTGACCTAATCCCATGAGAAGATTCAGCTCCAGCAACTCCTTGTTTTAAAAGGAAAAAAATTGCTTCACCCAAAAATTCAGATTGAGCCAAAGTCTGACCATCCTCCAGCCCCGAGACGATCTGGGAACAAGCGTGGCTGCACTACATAGCTCATGCCATGGCCCAGAGTACATACCTTGGTCTGGGGCTAACGGGATCCCAGCTCAGTTTTTGTGGGAATCACCTCATTTTGCTTCTGGCCCCCAATTCCTCATCTATAAAATACTTGCAATAGACATCCCTAGTCTCCCATCTATCGGTCCTGCACTGGGAATTCCATCCTCAACTGCGGGGGGCTGCCGGGTCAGACCCGGCCAACGTGTTTCACTGCCATCGCCAAAAGTGGACCCACACGATGGACTTCGCTGGTGCTGGGAGCAGCAGCACCCCCAAAGATGGGGCTGGGGGAAGCTGGAGGGACTGAGCCCAGTCCATGATGACTCTTCTGGTCCAGCTCCACCACTGAGCAATACAGAATTAAAGGTTTCCCATTGTGCTCAGGGCCAGGGGAAAAAAAGAAAGAAAAAAGGAAGAGCTGCATGCCTGGCAAAAATGTCCAAAGACACCCATCCATCTGCAGCTCCCCTCCACTGCACCGAATAAACACAGCTGCCGGCGAGAGCCCTCACGCTGCTCAGCACTGAGCAGAAGCACATACATACCCCTTAAAAACCACAGCCGGGATGTTTATTGACAAAACACCATCCCTCTGTGGGGCTGGAGATCCCACCCTGCCCCACACGGGATGGCGGGACTCATGCCGTGTCCCGGACAGTGGGGAAAAGCCATCGCGACATGTTCACCTCTCGGGACCGAGGCACCAGGACCGGAGGCTCCGCAGGTGCTGCCCATGTCCCATCCCCTGTGGTCTCATGGGACCAGCCATCCACGGACAACACAACTCAAGAAATGAAGAAAAACTGAAAGGAGTTTTTCTTTCCCTTATATCCCTACAACCTTTAAAAGGTTTGATTTTACCCCTCCCATCCCACTGCAGGTGGTACCCAATATAAGATGTCTTAAGGCAACTGCTTCAAAGCACAGTTTTCCTTTGAAAAGGGACTGTGTCAATGGTGACGCAGCAGCATCGTTCCTCCACGGAGCTGCTCTGTGTGCGTATTTGGAGACGGATTGCTCACCTGGTTGGCTAAAAATAAGCTCTATTATTTTTTTCTCATTTGGGTTCCCATAGTGCTGTGGCATAGCATAATGGAGAAAAGCCTGCTTCTTGCCTCCAAAAATGGTAAGCAGAATCTAAAACTGCAGAATTTTTTCTTCACGTGATTTTTTTTTTCTTTTGGAAAAGGCACAAAGTTAGAAAAAAATGCTAATTAAGTCCTCTTCTCCCCTGCAAACAAGCCCTGCTTCAATTTTGGACTTTTTTTTTATTCCTTCACCCACTTGAATGGAATACCAGGGAGCAACACTGCTGTGGCAGCAGCCAGGAACTGGGGCTTTCCAGGGCCAAGTGATGACCCAGAGCCAAGTGCTGGCTCTAGCAGCAGTGAAGCCTCTGGTATCACTTATGCAGAGCCAGTTTTCAGATTAAAATGGCAATTTCATTTCTTTCATCTATTCACTTCCTTTGTATCTATACCCTTTTTTCCTAGAACCTACTTACCTGCTTAATTTTAAAATAGATGTAGATATTGTCCCTCTTTTATGGAAGATTTATGAGCTCCGTAGGTTTGCTTTTACAAATATTAATATTATATAAGCTGATGGGCTTATTCAACTGCCACAGGCAAAAAAAGACTCCGTCAGCAAGTTTTCTTCCTGATGATTTCTTTTTAAGGGTCGTAGGTTGGCGTTTACAAGAAGACAAACTAGTTCAGGATAACAAGGAGAGGATAAACAGGATAAACAGCAAAAAAGAAATCAGGACAAGCAGAAAAACTCTACCCAAGCCAGTTCCATGCTTCTGCCTACTCTTGTATTATTATAATGACCACATTTCTAAAGCTTAGCCCCCAAATTTTTTTTTGCTTGTTGTTGCATAAACATACAGGGGAAAAAACCAGCCTTAATCCTGCAGAGTTTGTAACACTCCCTTTGCTCAGGGATGTAGATCGTTGTTCTCGGTTTACCTGCCACATTGCCAAGCAGAGAGAAGAGCAGAGCTTTACCCCCAGTCCCTGGATCCTCTGCAGGTTCCTAGACCGGACCCTAAGCTTTGCACCAGCATCCCACACTCCCCACCCCACCCACGCCAGAGGAGGAAACTGGGTTTAAATTCACGCCCCTGTTGTCCGGGGTGCAAGCAGCACCCACAACGCTCTCCAAGAGCTGTCGGTTCTGACACCCGTGGGCACCTCTCCCTGGTCCGTGCCACGGCCACCGGCGTTGCCCCAGGTGCCTCTCTGCAGCGAGGAGCCACGCTAACGGTGACTTGCAACGCACCTCTGGAGACTCTTTGGCTGCACGGAGAGGATGCTGGTATATCCCAATTTCCAAATTTTCAGGGCAGTCCAAGGCTTGAGCAGAAGCATGTTTTTTTCACTCAAAAGATCCCTTTTGTTCATATTCCTTGAAAAGCTTTACTAAAGTGCACCCTTGGCTCCTTAATCATTTAAAAAGGCTCTTGTCATGGCTGAGAGCCTAAACCCTTACCCCGACGTGAATCCAGCCCTCGGCTTTCCGGCGGGGGCAGCCCCGGTGAGGTCCCTCCCCGCCGTGTCCAACGTCCCTGGCTGCAGCAGGAGCATAAACCGCCCCAGCGCTCATCTCCGCCACTCATCTCCTGCTGTCCACACCGGATAACCACAGAGAAACAGGCTTTGTTTTTGTAGGGTCACCCAGGGGACAGAGGATTTTGAAACCTCCCTTTCCTGACCGAAGTCCCTTTATACCCTGGGTGCGGTTGTGCTTCGCGCACACAAGGGAGGAAAAATCCGAACACACTATTCAACAAAATTAATGACCCAGATTACTAAAATAAAGCTACAACTCAAACAGCCGGAACTAATTTCCAAATTACACTTCACTTTATCTCTGCAGCTACCATTAAATAGAGTGGAAGCTTTTAAAATAAAAAAAGAAATTAAAAAAAATCACCACCACCACAAGCTAGATTAAAGGGAAATTGCTTTTGGCTGTTTGAGTTTTTCTTCCAAGTTTTCGAAGGTTTACAGTATTAAAATTTTTACAGTCATTTTCCTGAGATCAAACGACCCCAGGAACAACGCCCATTAATTAGAGCAACACATATGGTGCTGCAATACTCCAAGGAGCGTGTTCCTGCGATGTAACGGCCTCCGGGCCGCACAAAGCCAATAATTTCCTTCCAAAGGTTGCCATGCACCTCTCTAATGAGCTATCGCGTGCACGTAATCAGCTGATTAATTCATTAGGAGAAAAAAAACTGCAGTTTGGATTACAACCAGGATTTTGGTTGACGCCACCACTGAACCGCAGGACCGGTTTCATTAGCTCACGCTGGAGGAGTCGCTTGAATCCAAACAGCTATTTAATTCGAGCGAACGCTGTGCACAGAATCCAGGGTAGAAGTTAATGCAGCTGCTAATGATTTCCTCTCCCTCCCCCTTGCTTTAAATGTTCGATTAGGTTAACAACAGCGGCGTTGCAAAAGGCCACAACCTACACATCCCGAAGCTAGCAGGTCCCTTGGCAAGGGACGGATCAAACCACTTGATGACACTGGACCTGGGACATCCAGGTCATTAAAATTCCAGCAGAGAGAGCACCTCCGCTCCGGCGCGGCTGGCTTCCCAGCCAGCAACTGGATGCCAACTTGGCTGCCTGCGGGTCTTCTCAGACGTGATCAGGTCTCGCTTGTAGCCTCAGATGCTCATTTGCAAGGGCTCTGCTTGCGTTGCCGCTTTCCTGGGCGTTGGGGGATGACGTCCTCTGCCAGGCGAGGTGGGCACAGAAGAAGGCTGTCGTGATTTGGAAGCAAATTTCATCCACTCTGCGGTAGATGTTACACGAGGTCTAAGCATCTCGTTGGTTGGATGGATATTGAAGGCATTCCCAGAAACACAGAGTTAATCAAGACATGTTGTAGAAGCAGAAGGAAATTCTCTGCAGACCACAGAAACAGCCTTTTCAATGTCTTTGAACTGAAGATCAAAGAACCAATTCCCACCCATAGAAGGCAGGCAGAACAGTGCAGCACAGAACACTGTTTCCTACAGCTGGTTTAGGTTGCTTTTCAGAGTAAGAAAAAGTGACAAAACATGTAAACAAGGTACAGTTTATTCTGTATTTTCAACATAAATGTGTATTTTTCTTGGTGGAGATTTAACACACCAGGACTTTAGGGAGGCCTTCAATCACTAGAGGTTTCCCAGCACATTCTGAAGATTTCCATTCAAAGGCAATGAACAGTGTAAAAAATCTGTGTGTAATTGAAACTCCACATGACCTCAAAAAAGAATTTCAACGGGAATAGTTTTTTGTTTTTAAATCAGCCCTAGTTTTGCATAATGCTGCCTGTTGAGCTGAAGCATCCTTTGTCATCAATGAGTTATTTAGGAAGGAAAAGAAGAAAGTTCTGGCGTAGAATAGTCTGTTGAACTGTGAGGGGAAGTCAGGTAAATGACTGAATTAGCATTCTTTTATCTTGCTGCAAAAGTAGCTCTAAGCCATGTAACTCATTGCTTAGCACAGTTTGTGAAAATCGCCCTGCTCCTTTCGTGCGGGCGTAGTTGGAGGCTGTTTGCAGCAGACCAGAAGCTCTCACCTGGCAGCACCGTGTCCCGGTGACAGATGCTGCCTGCCAGATCCTGGGCTGAACAGCAAACTTGGGACTTTGGCTCTCCCTGAATACCCCCAGCCCTGCTCACTACATAGGACAGTGCCAGCGCTTGCATTAAAAACCAAAATGCGATGACTTCTAGTCCTCTGGTGGGCCCGGAGGCCAGTAACCACACTGGGGGGGATCTAAACAACCCCAATACTCTATTCCATTGAGAAGCACAAGTAATTACCACTGCAACATATGGCACATAAATACCGGCAGCAGAGTTTGGATGTGCTTTAAAAATCCACTTTAGAGCATCTGTGCTGCTGGAAGCCAGGCTGTGCTCAGCTTCGTCTGCATCATGGAGTGTAGTGGCTGTTGGGTTAATTCACAGGCTCGCTCCGGCTCCATTTACACAGGACAAACCAGAGTACGACTTCGACCCAAAAGTCCAGGTAGGACGGAGAGTGGCTAAGCAGGGTAGAGGAAAAAACCCAATTCCAGTGTGAGCGATGGAGCAACTGGAATCCATGAGACCTGCCACCCACCGCTCTTGAAGCAGCTGCGGATGATGATCTCCACTGTTCACAGCTCGCACAAAACCCCAGGACAGGCGTTTCGCCTGGATGCTGGCTCCCCTCCGTGCTGGAGCCCAGCAGCCAGCGGGTCCCCAGAGCTGGGGAGCACGTCCCCCTGGTACCCCCCTTCCCCACCAGCATCACCCGCTGATGTGCTCTGAGCATGCCGGCAGGCACGGCTGGATCAAATCTAACCTCAGATCTGGTGTGCCAGGGTTAAATTAGATGTCACCAGATACAGTTCTTACAGCATTTGTAAGCCCAGGAGAACTCTCCTCCCCGTGTACTGGGCTGCTGTCCACACGTAGCCAGGGAAGAGGTTTCCCTGCTCAACACAGCGCAATAAATCATGGTGAGAGGTTGCCTCATCCCTGAAATCACATCCTCTCTGTATGAAGAAAAATCAAAGCCAAGACTTTGCAAATTCCGGGTTTTCTGGGCACAGGACATGGGAATGTCCATGGTTTCCTGGAGGATTTTGCACAAGGCTCATCAGAGTCCAAAGCTGCCGGGGGGCTGCTGTAAGCAGAGCCAGCTGGACGGTGCTCCTCAGGAAACATCTGCTGGAGATGGACGGGGGGAACAGAGCATGCCTTGACCCTCCTCTGGCCGCCCTCCTCCACCTTGTCTCATCCATAAGGCAGGAGGGTTGGCAGGGAGGGCGGCTGCTGTGTCCCTTGCCAAGGGGAATCCTCCGTCAGGAGGGTCCCCAAGCCCTCTCCACCACAGGAGCTGGGACGCCTGCCCTGCATACAAGGGGTAGGCTCTGCAAGATGAGCTCTCTGGGGGTTTGGTTCATCTCAGCACACAGATTTTCGGACATTTAATTAAAATCTCCGAGCCTCCCAAGTAGCTGACATGGGGCTGTTGACATCACCCAAGCAGACTGTGCAGAGAACTTCTAAACACTCCTGTCTTCCAGCTGGATTGGGACCAAGATGAGCAAGAAAACGATGAATTCTTTTAAAAAAGAAGTACAAATTGCTCTTTACCAAAGTGAGAATACACAGCACAGCTCTCCTAGGGGGTGACTTTAGAGGTCCTGGTTTTGCTTAATGAGCCTGTCCATCTCATTGGACCTGAACGGCACGTTTGCTTATGGTACGTAGGGAAAGTCAATGACGCATTGAGAACACAATGGCGTTAATCTATATTCTCTCCCAGTCTCACCGAGATGAGCTCCTACTCTTTCGGTTTCAGTCATTAAACAAACCACGTCTGGTAGCTAACTGAGCAGACTGCTATACATCAAAACAAATCTCTCTCTAACTCCGTTTATTGGATCTTTTATTAGGACAGTGTCTTCTCCAGGATGGACTCCAGACCTGACTTTCTCTCTGCAGCATGACCGCTAACACCAGAGTTTACCTTGGCCCATCCACATCCTCGCTCACAGCCCTCAGCCTCCATCCCAGGCTTCAGAGCTGAAGCTCCAGCACAGCTTAAATGTTTCCCCATTTTACAGCAGCCAACAACATTTTACCTTGATAAATCAGCTCAGCTGCCCGTCTCTCCGCCGCTCATTAGCTCAGAGATCAGTGGCTTGCTGCCTTCCTTCCCCTTGTAGCATCGCGCTTCTCTCCAGCTAGGTAGGCTTGGTTTTCAAGATAACCTCAGGACACAGGCTGCCTGTTTAAATATGCTGACAGTGTGGCTCAATATCCCTTTCAAGAGATTGCAGAAATCCTCTAGTCCTCTGCAAACTGGGAATTCAAACGCTGTTATTACCGCGCTCTGTGCTAGGACTGGTCCAAGGGCTGCTAACAACAGCCACAGTCCCTGTATTTACCTCAGCAGCTTTTAGATTGGGTCCTAGCTGCATCTTCCCCTTTAGTTTTTAGCAATGAAAATATTGTGACGTTAAGAAATCTATAAATCAGAAGCTGTGCTGGGGTGTGAAATTGAGCATCCATTTGGGAGAGGATTAAGCCCCACTTATGTCTCCTGTCCCTGGATCTATGTGACTATAGGAACAACACATTTGCTACCTGGTTGGCTTTGCTGCTTCCCCCAATCTCTTTAAAACAGCGGTATTACAATGAGCTTTTCTTGTTGACAGGCTCTTTCTATTAGCTGTACAAGTGTCTTGAACAATTATTGATGCTGTGGGCAACTGGCGAACAGAAAAAAAAGGAGCCTTCTGTTCACGAACAAGGCTATTAAATCAAAGGAAGCAATAATATCACAGTTCTTAGATGACCAGCCCTCAGGTACAAACACCAGGAACTCTGCAGAAGTACTCCAGGAAAGCCCCACAGGCTGCACTAGCTGGAAGAAATTACCCACTGAACAGTGGCAGATTAAAAAAAAAAAAAAAAAAAAAAAAAAAGCCCTCCCCCCCC